TGTTAGATGAGAGCCCTCTTCTGGTGTTAGATGAGAGCCCTCTTCTGGCTTGCAGACTTCTCATATCCTCACGTAGCAGAAGGGATGAGCTAGCTCTCGGGGGTCCCTTTGGTCGGGGCATAATCCCATTCCTGAGGACTCTGTCCTCATGACCTAGCCACCTCCCAAAGGCCCCACTTTCTAATACCATCACCTTGGGATTAGGATTTCAACATATCAATTGGGAGGGCACACGTTCACACCATTGTATGCTTGTTGCCGGCTAGAGTCTAAACGCAATAGTCTGCCTTCTCGTTTCAGCTCTCATACTATAGATGTCCTTTTGTGATCTCTATGGGGCCAGGTTTCTTGCAGTTTGTGCTTTTGGTGGGTCGTTTCACTGTTTAAGTTGGCCCCAAGCATACTGAAGTGCTTCTTAGTCATTCCTAAGTGCAAGAGGGCTGTGATGTGCCCTACAAAGAAAATAGGTAAGTTAGATAAGCTTTATTCAGGCATGCGTTATAGTGCTGGTGACGCCGAGTTCAATGCTAAGGGATCAACAGTAATATTTAAATAAGGTGTCTTCAAACAGAAACAAGGTTATGTATTGATAACTTTCTTTTTCAATAAATAAGGAACATAAGGTATTGATCAGTTGACAAAAATGTTGTGACTCAAGGAACCTACCCCTGTACATCCCCTAGGGGCACTGGTTCAGAATTCACTAATTCATTGTTCCTGGAGACTTTGTAGAATATAACTACCACAAATACCTGGAACTGATTGTAGGTAGCATGTATTAACTGTAATGACATCAGTACTGTTATCCCACGATACAGTCTTACAGTAAAAGCCCACCACCATGCAAGAAGAGAACCCCAAAAATTTATTTGTTAAAGGCAGCATACCTTTGATGGAGATTTAATAAAACGATTTGGGGAAACTATGCAGACAGCGTGGAATTCCGAGTATCTCAGGATCCGGCTACTCCAAGGTCCTACTCCAGCTGTGGCCTGACTGGCACCATCTGGTGGCGGTTTCCTCATCTGGCCATTCTTGCCCTGTGGCCGTGGTGTCTCCCAGGAGAGTATCATTGATATGAGTGGTTCCAGTGGCCCTTATTTCCTCAGCCTATCTGGGGAGATTAGACAGGAAACCACCTTCCCTTCATGGAACGGAATGAGGTTGCCTACTGTTTCCCTGGGGGCGCACCCTCCACCCCGCGTGCCCCTCTCCCCAAAGATAATAACTTCAACCACCCCCATTTTGAGGTCTGGGACCACACAGAAGATAGGAGCCAACTGCCAATTGCTTTTATTCAAAGATGTATTCTAGGCTTGTTGTCCCTGGGTTTTACTATATTATCCCCATTGTACAGATGAGGAGACAGAGGCCGTCACAGTGATCACCCACAGCCAGTTCATTCCATACTGATCTGACTGTCTGGACCATTTCCTTCTCTTTCCCTGTCATATTGTGTGTGCCAGGGGAACATCAACAACTTTTAATATTAACTTAAAAAGCAAGGCATGAATCAGTCTCTGTTATCCCTGCCAACTAAAAACCCCTCTGCTTAGGAGAGATTTCTTTTTTAAAGATTTTTTTTTTTTAAGTAATCTCTACACCCAATGCGGGGCTTGAACCTTCAACCTCAAGATCAAGAGTTGCGCCCCAGATTTGTCCTCCCTTCCTTCCTTCCTCCCTCCCTTCTTCCTTCCTTCCTTCTTTCCCCTCCCTGCCTCTCTCTCCTTTCTTTTTTCTTTTCTTTTCTTTCTCTTTCTCTCTCTCTCTGTCTTTCTCTCTTTCTCTCTCTCTTTCTCTCTTTCTCTCTTTCTCTTTTCCTTTCTCTCTTTTTTTCCCTAACAAAAGTAAACCTGTTCTGGGCAAAATGGAACCGGTTGTTTTTCCAGTGGCTGTCAAATGGCACAAACCCCCTAGTGACCTCTCCTTTGTATTGCAGCCTCATCATGTTTTACTTCATCGCCCTGGCCGGAGCACACAAGCGGGTGGTGGTCCAGCTCCGAGAGCAGCTATCCCTGGTAAGGAAGAGCAGGTCCAGAGGGTCATGGCTGGGGACATCTACCCAGGACATCTCAAGGAAAGTGCCACTTTCCCCAGGGAGAGGGTGGAGTGCCGTGGCCCTGCTCACCACCGCTTCCCAGAACTGCCTTCGGCCCGGGCCTTGTCCAGCTTCATTCAGTCATGGGCTCATCCATGCCTTCAACGTGTGCGTTGATCACTGCGTGCCCCTCATGCTGTGCTGGGATACAGTGGTGACCGAGAGAGATGAGACTGCTAAATAGGTACAGAAAAACCATGAATTCCAATAGCGGGAGCTGCTCTGAAGGTAATACGGAGGTAGTTAGATGAGGGGCGGCCCTCTGCTGCCGTAGATGGTGGCCGCGGAGGGCCTCTTTGCGGAGGTGACATTGGAGCTGAGACTTGAAGGACGAGGAGCCGATTGTGGGAGGTCTCAGGGGTGAGAGTAATAGGCGGAGGGGACAGCGAGGGCATTCCCGGGAGCTGGACGACAGGTGGCATTGGCTGGAGAGGCAAGATGATGCTGGATTATCAGCTGGGCTCCCAGCACAGGGTGAGGGCTCTGGTGACAAGTTTGGGTTTAATTCTGAGTGTGATGGGAAACCAATGAAGTGTGTTAAGTAGAAGTCTGAAGTACATTTCTTTTTAAGATTATTTATTTATTTAGAGAGAGTGTGCATGAGCCAGCGGAGGGGGAGGGCAGAGGGACAGAGAGAATCTCAAGCAGATGCCACGCTGAGTGCAAATCCCGACTCGGGGCTCGGTCTCACACGGCCTTGAGATCATGACCTGAGCCGAAACCAAGAGTGAGACGTTCAACCGACTGTGCCACCCAGGCACCCCATCAGTCTGACGTACATTTTTTAAAAAGACTGTTGGCCCCTTTGTGGACAAGGGGCTGTGGAGGGGCAGGAGGGCAAGAGGCTGAGCAGTCTGGAGGCCATTACCACCGTCCAGTGGTTAGGATCCTTAGCCCCGAGTCTGACGGGGAATTGACTAGGTTGAAATGATGATATTTGCTTCCAAATATATTGAATGTGCTCTCGCACCAATTTCTATCTTTAGGAAAGTCGTGACAAGCGCTACCTGATCCAGAAACTAACAGAAGCCCAGAAGGATATAAAGAACAGACTGGACTGGCAGTGAGGATCCTTCCACGTGCTGCTCATAAGCTGACCTGGTGACCTGCCGAGCCTACAGAGTCCACCTGGGTTTGGAGCAGAACTTTTAAAATACATTTTTCTGGAGTTCAGGTCTTCCCTGAAGGTGGTGGTGGTGTTTATGGCACCCAGCCCCTGTGGAGGGCTTTCGTGACTTCGAAAAAGCAGGTTCAAACCAAGTGTTTGCCTGTAGACCAGAAGCTTTAGTGACTCTCCCCCAAAACTGACTTATTAAGCCGTTTAAGCTGTCAGAACAAAAAATGAAGAGGGAGAGCCCTTTTGTATTTTTCAAAGCTTATTTGTGTTGTCTTTTACGGTTAACATTAGTAGAGGTCACCCATTCATGAGGCTGGGTTAGTTCTTTTGCAACCAGGTTCTGGAGGTTTAGGCTGAGAAGTGTTCCTTAAGAAGTAGTAGCCCTTTTGACTTAAAATGAGGCCTGATTTTTTTTTTTTTTCATAAAGAGAAATCCTTGAATTGGGATGTTTGGAACAGATGGTGGAAACATGGAGAGGGTGGGTATGTGATCCCAGCTACCTGGTGGTAATATGAGAGAGAAAAGCCATTCCTGCTGGGTGAATAAGCAGTCTCTGAATACCCTGGATGAAGCTTTAGGAGGAGGGGAATGGCTACGGATCTAGGGCCTTGACATCTTAGCTTCCGGGGCATTTTGCTATAGCCTTACTCAGGGGAAAGCTGTCTTTACAGTGCTGGGTCCCTTCTGGTCCTGAGTTCTGAGACTTAGCAGAGGGCCCTGGGTCATCAAAATTAAGAGGCAAAGTTTGTCTTTCAAGTCTTCCAAATGCCATTTCCCTCGCTGCACTGAGGACCCCAGCTCTAAAGGACACTAAACATTCCAGGCTGGAAAGGGCGGTTAAATATGTGCACAGAGCATGGAGCTCCATGGTTTACGTGTGTGAGTGTTGGAGGCTGTGGGTCGCAGCATCAGACTGGCCTGTGCCAGTGTCCCAGAGTACACAGAATGCTGGCATCTTCAAGGCACATATCCATATTTTAAGGGCTCTTATTTGCTTGTGCCGAAAATTTTGACTTTTATTTTACAAAATACGCAGAGTATATTTCAGGGTTTCCATTACAGCAAAAAACAACAACAACAACAAAAAACCCATGTGCAATAAATACCTCATCATAAGCTTACCCGAAATTGATAGCTCTGAACCTTTCAATGTAAGCCTAAGTTATTGTTTCGTGTAATCAGTTCTCATCTTAATATCTTCAGAATCTTTTCCAGAGTACTTAGTTTTATAACAGATCGCATGAGCCTTTCTTCTGTTGTTTTCCTTCCTTTCACTGGCTCAAAACCTTTTCCTAGGGAGTAGCCTGGAGTTTAAAGCTGGGTACATGTTTTAGAAAGCTGCCCCTAAGAGTATTTCCCACCCCTACCCCTACCCTCCATTACTCAAAAATGACCGACTACTCGCTCTGAGGAGCAAAGCAAGCTTGCCGTAGCTTACACATTTCTGTATATTTGCCCCTTTGCCAGATCATTTTCTCGCTCTTCCCCAAAGGTAGCATTAACACAGGCTATTTATGTCCCTGTGAGACCAATGAGCTTTTCAAGCTAATAACTATTATTATGGAATTTTGAGTAACCACATGTTCATTCTGTCCTCACTTGAAAAAAATTCTAATTGGAGTTAGGGACTAATATGCGTTTTTGTCTAGCACACTTACATACATATATGTTTTTGCCTTCACCATGATTCTGAGGTCAAGTTGTGTGTGTGTGTGTGTGTGTGTCTGCACGCACATGCATGTATGGAAGCTCCGTTCCTTCCCTCATAAAATTGATACTGATGTATGCTAATATATTCATTTTGGTTAAATGCTGCTGATTTGCATACCTCTTACTTGAATGTTTTTATATATTTTGATAACTAATAACTTCAAGTGATGTCTGTGTAATTGTTGAAGTGCAGGTCTCTCTAACAACTGTGCCTTAAAACTACTGATTAAACAGTATCTTGAAGGTTTTAAAAGGGGTTTGTGTATATTGGAATTCATGGAGGTTTCCTGTCAGCAATCACGTGATCATAGAACACTATAGCAGTTTGTAAAGTCGCTCTTTGCCTTTTCCTAGAATCACAGAAGTGTTTAATGCAATCATCGGATGAGTGCTTTTAAGACTCCTTGGCTCTGCTTAAGTCAAGGAGGGGTGTATGTATGTGTTTTAAACTGAAAAGACATAAAGTTATTTCAGGCACTCCCCTTCCCTTCCCCACTTCCCAGAGGGAACCACTGCTAATGATGTTTAATTTATTCTCCCAGAAAATTATAATACATATTCAAGCAGATATATATGTGTGGTTGAATGCATGAAATATGTGTTTCTGAGCTTCTCCCTTTTTTCTCCTTAACAACATCTTGAAGATCTTTCCATATAAGTAGCCACCTCTTCTTTTTAATACACACCATTCCATTGTATCAGTATGTAAGGGTTAGCTCCTTGCTAGATACTTTGTTTTCAACTCACCAACATCCCCTATCCTGTTACAAATAGGGGGAGCTGGAATTTTAAAGTCCCTGCAAGCCTGTCTCTGTTTCTCTGTCCTGCCCCATTCTCCTAAAGAACAGGTTCTTGTTCTTTATCAAGGCAGGCTTCCACATTCTTGAAATCACAAAATATTCTCATCCTAGCAAAGAGAAGAATCCAGTTAGGCAAGTTTTTAGTTGGCAATATCTGATTGCAGCTACTCGCAAGTAAATAATGATGAAGAAAGGAATTAATTTTGCCAGAGTGGAGCTGCAAGGTCTGATCCCTGGGAAGACAGGACTTCTGAATGTATCTTCTTTAGATAGGGTATGGCTTTGTTAGTAAATTCCATCTGGTGTATTTTCTCTCCAGTGCATGGTGTGCTTGGGACCTGGGATGGCTTTGCTACTTGCTTAATTGTATAATTTTGTATAGGTGTCTTCACTTTTCTGAGATAAAATTCCCTTATCTTTAAATGTCAATTAATACATATATTTACTTTTATTTTTGAGAATGGAGTTAGGGACCAATATATATTTCTTTTTGAAATTTTGTTTTCTTATTTTAAAAATACTCGTTTATTATAGAAAATACAGAGGACACTGAAAACTACAGAGAAGAAAAGTAAAAAATCACATATAAGCACCATTTATGGACATTCACTGTTAATCTTGCCAAATTCCTTTTAAGATAAAGAGCACAGAGGGAGGGAGGATGGGATGAAAGGAAAGAAAAAAATATCGGTATTCTCATTTCTTTTTCACTTACCATGTTTTTCCAAAAGTTCTTTACAAACATTTCAGTGGGCTACATAATATAACATCCTACAGATGGGTCATAATTTTTAACATTCCTTTGCTGCTTAACATTTTGTTTTCAGATTTTCCTGACAATAACTGGGACATCTATAAATTTTTTTGTTAACGCTTAGGGACAGAGACCTAGAAGTGGGATTACAACAAAGGTTTAGAAAGAACATTTTAGGGCCTTTGAGAGGTTTACACTCTCAGTAGCTTTACATGAGAATGTTACATCATCCTTGCTTTCACTAAGTATTGGGTTTAAAAAACTATGGAATAGTTCACCATAATTTAAAAGTATTGTAGTTTGTTAGAGTAGTTTGAAAACAACCAGCACCTTCAATTATTTTATAGTGTATATTAAAGTTTTATAGTAACTTGGAAAAATGATATAATCCAAGGGTGTAAAGTAGAAAGTGAAAGCCCCCTTCTCACAATCCCAACCCTCTAAGTAACCAATATTAAATGTTTTGTTATATATCCTTCCAGATATGCATCTTTGATTTTTTCCTTTCATATATATACCCTACACATTTGAAAAATTATTTCTATTGGATAGATCCCTTGGAGGAGGGTTGCTGTATCTGTGGATATGCATTATTTTTAAAATATACAACAAAACTTTTTTCATAAATCTTTTTTAGTTTTAGAATCACAGTAAAATTGACAGGAAGGTAGAGATGTCCCATATACCCTTTGCCCCCCACATGCATAGTCACCCCCACCAGAGTGGCACATTTGTTAGAATTATGAGCCTACACACACACAGAGTATGCAGGCTTTGTTATACGTCTTCTCTCCCTACACCTATGCCCCCCAAAACAATTTGCACCAATATGGATGAACACCAACAGTAAAGTGGAAACAAACAAAAAAACATGTTCTTTGTACAAAACCTAAAACTAGAAAAAAGATAAAGCTGTTGGCTGTTAGCCCCACCACCTAGAGGCACTACTGACCATGTGGTGAGTTTAATTTTATCATGCAATTTCTATTTTAAAGTCGCTGTAGGATACACATAGAGAAAACTCTCCTTCCATGTTGGTAAAGCAAAAAACACAATGGCTTTGCCAATAAAGAATCCCTTCATGATCCTTTTTCCCAGGAATTTACCCTGGCAGAATCTCGAGAAGGGCAAATTAGCATCAACTCCCCAGCAGCCCAAGTTTCTTTTACAACCGTCGGTCTCCTGAGTGATTGATGGTGATCACATCCAATAGCATCTCTTCACTTGCCCTTTCCAGCCAATCGAATGGAAGCAGGGGTGTAGGGGCGTGTCCACCGATGCAAGGGCGGGCAGCGTATGTCTTACGTCTGCTGTGTGTCATCAGTCGGCGCTGAATGCACGTTTAGCCCGTCTCGCGCAGTGGAGCTGTTACCTTGTCGCAACAATGAGCTGGGCCGCGGCCGCAGCGGTTCGCTCCCTGTGGCGGCTGCGCACGGGAGCCCTGCGGCCTCTCTCAGGTAAAGGAGGAGCGCGGCCGCGTACGCGCGCTGTACTGGCCGGCCAGGGGATTTTCGCCTGTGACCTGGGCCGGAGAGGTCACGGGGGCAGACGTTCGTAGACGTCATAAGGCTGCGACGGAGCGCGCCTTCGAGGCGTGAACCTTGGGGCGGTGATAGGCGGGGCGGGAACTGTAGTGTGTTGGGAGACTCCGGGGCGGGAGGGGCGTGGTGTTCCGCAGGGTGAAGCTGTCAGCTCACAGTCGACGCTCTGTGGATGACAGAACTGCACACCGTGCCGGGCCGTCACTGCAGGTGTGGTCGGCATTCCAGGCTGAGGACAGGTGGCGACCTT